AAAATATCTGAATTCAAGCGTGTTCCACTTTAAACTACATATACCAGTAATACCTTTGGGGTGATGCAGTTAACTAAGAAAAAGGCCATTAAAAGAGTGGGCCGTTATATGGGGGCCATACCAAACAGGTACCCATTGTACCCACAACTTTATATTACAACGATTGTTACCTATGACAAATGACAAAATGACAAATTTTAATAATTTTCATGGGCAAATGTGACTAGGATTATCAAAATATCGAATATTGGTGGGTACCGTTATGTGTGGGCTATACGAAAACGTCGACCTAAATATACAATGTTCCGTCACATGAGCTAAAATCCATCACCAACTACAAATACCAATTTTTAGACAAATCCGTGGAAAAATGAGGCGAAAACTATCAAAATACCGAATGTCGGGAGGTACTGTTATATGGCGACTATACCAAAACGTGGACTGATATATCTCATTTTCAATACCAACCATCCTACACGCAATACAAGTTGTATGTGCCAAATTTGAAGCTCTACGTCAGACAGACATCATTAAATAGACTTAGAATTTTAGGCTAATCATGAATGGTTTTATGGGGTCTACGACAAATATTTAGGGTTGTTGCAAACGGAGTAACGAAGTTAATAAACCCTCCTTTTTTTAAGGCGTATGGTATAGAAATACATATTTTATTTTATATTTCTCCTAAAAATTATTTTTACCTTATTTGGAGGACTATTATTACTCCTTGGAAAATAAATCCAATTTGAATAAGTTTTTAGCGGAGCTTAATATTATATCATAAACTACAATATGTAGACACACACACAAAGAACCCTTTCCCTTTACACAGACACACATTGTCCCCACCCCCACCCAACACAATTTGTCTCTTTTTCGCGATAATAATAATTGTCATAGAGTCAATCATCAACGACAACAACAACCAACTGCCACTTGAAAATCGCGTTTACTCAGGAAATACATTTTCCAACTGTCTGCAATTCAACACATAATCAAACTCACTCACACAAACACAGACACATTCAAACACTTGGAGAAAATCCATAAATCATTCGCTTATTTGTTTGTCTTTTTATTGCCTTAGATTGCTTTTACAGACATGCCATCGCCTTTTCCTTCTTCTTTGTTTTGCATATTCACACATCTGTCTATACATTCATTTATTATCCAAACTCACACATACAGCCATACACACATACTTATTCATATTTGCTTACTGAATGGAAAGATTTATGACTTCTTTTTTGAATGTAACAATAATCTTTGGGAAATTAAGTATGGGAATTTTCTTGGGCCATAAAATGCAGTGGCACTCCTTTTTCCTAGGGGGAAGGCTACGAATATTTTGAGAAAAGAACAAAAATTTGAACGAATACATTGATTCCTCCGGGAAAATGAGGCGACTTTTAAATGAATTATAGGTAATATTGGTGGAGACCTAGGGTTTAACACCATTATTTCGACAAGGCAATTCTACCGGCGGCACAAGAAAAGAAAGAAACTCACTCGATTTATTTGATTTTAGCTTGTTTACAACATTGCGAGCAGAAGAAAAAAACTCAGCAAAAATATAAAAAGATCCTAAGACAAATTGGACAAATAGACATTGAGCAGACATGTCGGATACTATTGATTGATTGATATATTGACAAGTTGTTCGTTAAAAATATTGAAATATTGAAACAGAGACATTCGGAACTGGTACAAATTTCCAGTTTTCCCACAAAAGGTAATTGCTGATTTCAAATTTTCTCCTCCTCGATGCCCAATATTATTTAACACTTGGTTAGGATTCGATCGAGACCGCTACCGATTTCTATCTTTATTATACCATGCAACCTTATGTGTTGGGGGTATTATAAGTTTGATTGGGCCAAAAAAATTGTAACATATATATATATATATATATATATATATATATATATATATATATATATATATATATATATATATATATATATATATATATATATATATATATATATATATATATATATATTTATCCGATTTCAAATTTGTTGTGCACCAAATAGGCAATATAATTATAATCATAGCGTGTATGATTGAATTCTCCAATAAAAACTTTTAATTGTTATGCGGAGCTCTACTAAATTAGCAAAGTGGTGTAGGGTATCATGAAGTCGGCCCCGCCCGACTTTACGACTTTCTTTACTGGTTTTTTCCTGATTTTGCAGTTGCTCTGCAGGTCACAATTTGTACAGAGAACGGAATTTCGCATGAAGTTACAATTTAGAACAGGATAGAATTCTACCGACTGGGGCGGCCATCGGATAATTTTTAGAGGGTAAAATGGTGAAAAACACCAAAAGTATAAAATCTTAACATATGCCAATAAAAATTTGAATATTATGCCTTACACCACAAGGTGGTCAGGTTATAATTCATTTGTTTGTAACAGGCAAAGGAAACATAGTTCATTTTAATGATCTGCATAGAATCACATTCTGAGTCGATTTATGCATGTCCGTCCGTCTGTCCATGTATATTTGTAAACAAAGTACACGTCACATTTTCTGCACGATCCAGATGAAATTTTGCACAAGTCATTTGTTTGACCCAAGGACGAACCCTACTGAAATTGGAGACAATCGGTCAAAATTTAGATTAAGCTCTCATATACAGGGTGAGATGAAAAACTGCCACCAACTTCATTTCTAAGCGACTCGTCCGACAGCTGTTACCGTTACGCTACCAGTGTAGCCCGACGTCAAGGATGTGGACGGAAAAAAACAGTGGCATCAAAAGAAATGGTTCATAAAGTAAAGAAGCGACTTGATCGAAACCCGCGTCGCAGTGGCCGAAAAAATGGCTCGTGAGCTGAACATATCGCAATATTCCATTCGGCATATATTGAAAAATGAGCTCGGGGTAAAGCCATTAAAATTCCAAAAAGTGCAAGAACTTACACCCAACAGAAAGAAAATAGACTCAAAAGAGCTGAAGAGTTGCCTCGATTGGCCGAAAGTGTTGAACTGCCGAATTTGGTTTTCTCCGATGAGCAAACATTCGTTGTCCAGCAGTTTGCAAACAAACAAAACGATCGTGTTTACTTTCCAAAGAGGTCAGCTGAAAATGTGCACCTTCGGTTGGCCACCAGAACTCAAGCAAAAAATTAAAAAAATTATCGCAAAAATATTCTGGAGGGTGTATTAAAGCCTTGGGCATGCAAACATTTTGGCCGCAGACTTTGGAGATTCCAACAGGACTCAGCATCATCGCATTCAGCACGCGCCACCCAAGAATGGTTACTAAATGAGGTTCCTCGGTTCATTTCCAGCACACAATGGCCACCAAAATCTCCGGGTAACAATACGTTGGACAATTGTGTCTGGAGTATTCTGGAAAGCAATTTTGGCACTAAAAAATAACAATGTGTCGAACACCTCAAGCAAGCGCTTCGCCGGGAATGGGCCAAAATATCACAGAACAACATTCGGGTAGCGTGTGAATGGTTTCATTGGCCGTTTAAATGCCATAATTCGTGCCAAAGGTAACCATTTCGAAGAAATGTAAATTTATTCGAAAATTTTATGCTATTTCCGACATTTTTTGCTTCTATTCGATAAAATTTAAAAAAAAATGTAAAAATTATGGCGTTTGACTTTGTTGCATTTTTTTAATCTCACCCTGTTTATATTGTCCATCCGATTTGTTATATTTGTTCTCCACAGCCGTAATACGCACTCCGTAACAACGATATGGACCAAAAAAAATAAAAATTATGCTGATTTCGCACTCGCTCTATAGGTCAGAATTAAAAACCAATCGAACCAGGATTTTGCATGCGGATTGAGTTAAGAACAAAGCAGAAGTCTAGAATTTTGGATGACCAATGAGTTGTATTTAGAGGGTAAAATTATCACAATTTTCGTCTGAAATTGTTTTGAATAACTAAAAGGACGAGGGTAAATACCCTCGGTCAAAGTGCTAGAGGACACATTTGTTCAGGCCTGTATGCCGTTATTTAAAAAAATCAAATCTTCCAAAATGGATTTGGAACTAAAGGGGCTTCCAAAGTGTTGTAGGGTATCAAAGTTTCGGCCCCGCCCAACTATAGTCTTTGCTTACTTTTTTATCATATGCTTAATAGCATACTACACTATATGTGGGGGTATTATATACTGGCCGTTGGGTTAGGGCTAGAATATAAGCCTACTGATTTCTACAAAATATCTAGAAGTTAAAATAGATCAAAACCGAAAATCGCCGATCAAAAACCAAAGATAACATTTTTCATCATTCAAGAAATCGACCAAAATGTACTTTCACGTAAGGGTCATATGGTCGGTCCCGTGTTACTATAGCATTTCTTACCTGTATTATCTGGAGTTGTAAGTCAGAAGTGATCGGAATGTAAGATCTTCTCACTGATCCTGGAATAAATACATACAATGTCCTCCACAGGAAACTTGTGCTATTTTCAGTAACTTTACAAGTTCAAACACACAATCGTACATCTGACCCGTCACTTTAATGACTTTATGCACAAAATATCCAACTCAATACTCTAGCCAAACAATGGCAATTTTTGATTTAGAAATTCCAATTTTTCTACAAAATGTATTTAAGTTCTTTAAATTTCCATTTTGATATCTGTAAAACTCAGAGATTTTTCACATTATTACTTGGTATTTGAGATAAATTTTAAAAATTGTAAATTGAGTTTCTGTAGCGCTAAAAATTCTTCAAACCCTGCTTGACGTTGCACATAATTTTAGCACTGATATCTGATTATCTCTTTGCAAAATATTTTATATGTTGTTCTATTAGTTTTTGTGTAATAATCTCTTTAATACGGGAAGTCAAATTTTAGTCCACAACTTAGCCATATTTTTTCTCAAAATTCGAAACTCGAAATTTTTTTTGAAGAAGCGACACTTTTTGAGATAATAAGCGGTATGTGTTTCACTTTCAAAAAATTTCTCACAACAACAATAATAATGATAATAATAATTCATTTCAAAATGTCTACTCACTTTTTAACTCTCGGCATTGGTGGATAGATGAACGAAGGACGATGTGTTCTCTTGATGGCTGGCAACACTGGATAACTGGACAGCTGACTAGAGTGATACATTAACGCTAAATGACCAGTCTGGCGTTCGTCGCCTGTCAACTGCTGCTGTGACGACATGCCTGGCGAAGGAGGACCCGAACCATGACCGCCATCTCCACCGCTGCCACCACCACCGTCGCCATCGCCCCCATCATCGCCGCCACAAGTCAATTGCGAGGCCACTGGTAAATTCGATTCATCGATAGTTACACGATGCTGTGAACCCGACTCACGTATACGTGCCGATAATTTGGCAGGCGACACCGACGACGTGTGAGACGTTGTATCCGGTGCTACCAGAAGATTTGGGGAAGGCGTTACCGTGGTGGCCGGTGAGGTATGTTGTGGTGGTGGTCGCAACGTCTCATCGCCACTGCTGCTGGCCGCTCGAATATGCCGCGATTCGTGTAACAAACTTGAACTGGTGTATGAAGCTGGCACTGTGGGAGTGGGCACCGCTACCCCATGCGAATGGGGATGATGATTCTGATGGTGAGGATGCTGAAATTGGTGGGGCAAATGATAGTGGTGATGACTGCTCATTTGGCGACCTGTAGGTAATTTTTGAGCTGTGGTTACAATGGCCTGAGGCTGTTCATCACGATAAGACAGGGATGTGGTGGTTGCCGCCGCTGTTGTCAATGCCGAAGATGCTGTGGCCCGAGTGTCGCTGGTCGAGGCCGATGAAGATGTTGATGGCAATGAGTCCGTGGCAGTACTGCAAGTTGAATTTGAACGAGACATTAGTGAGGCTAATTGAGGTTGATTGCAAAATTCTAATGAATGTTGGTTTATAATTGTTGCAATTGCAAAAATTAAAAAAAAAACGACAACAGCAACAACGTAGACAGAGATTATCACTACACCACACTTCCCGAAATAGTTATAGCGACCATTGGTGTTACGTTGTTGAAATGTTTTCTATTTTTTTTTTTTTTTTTTTGGAATTTTTTTTATTTTTAAAATTCAAAATTTTGCACGTCCGGACATAATGATAAATGGATAATAAATGATTTAGGTTTTTACTTTTGTTCGCTCTAGACTAACAAAAAAAAGATAAATCTCCATGGACCATGAATTGTGTCGACCTCTCTCTCTCCCTATGGGATTCTTTTTTTCTGTAAATTGAATAATTGAATTGAAACACAAACGCACACACAGAGAAAAGAAGAATTGTGGTTACTGCTGCTGCTGTCCGGTCAATGATAATAATGCCACTGATTATAATGCTGATGGCAGTGGCAGAGCGGTGGAGGTGGTGAAGAAGAAATGTCATTGAGTTGGATGCCACTACTGCTGTTGCCCGGTCAGCAACGGTGTTGATGTGGTGTCAATGATATTATTTATGTGTGTGAATATGTTTGTGCAAGTTTAACAAAAAACAAAATACAACAACTACTGTCCCTCCACGATTCATTCACATGTTCGCTCATCCATTCACATTCATTGAGAGATAGAAAGTCTTTCCCAAATGAAAAACCACACTGTCTGTCCATCATTCATAAATCTGATTTGAGTGCAAATTTCCTCTCCGCTCAGTGGTCAGTCTGTGACTTTTGGCATCAATGGATTATTTTTAAAATAAAAAGTGAAAAAAAAATTATCTAAAGAGTAGCTACATTCTGCCCTAAGGGTAATTCGAAATCTATTTGAATATTCTACAATTGGAAGGACAAAGTGATGTATGGTAAAAGGTTAAGGGATGGGGTAAAAGACATTTTAATACCCCGCAGAATATACAGGGTGAGATGAAAAAACTGCAATCAACTTCAGACTTCTGTCATTTCTAAGCAACTAGTCCGACAGCTGTTAACATTATTCCAGTGACAACTCATTAAATTGTCTACAAGCGTACCAAAGCATTAGCTGAGAATCTCCAGAAAAAAAGTAATTCATGATTGAATTCAAGCGTGATAGTGTGATTTCTTTACACGGAAAACCGCAAGTGGCTATCGTTAGAGCACTCCAACATTTAAATGTGAATAAATCTTTAGTGTCACGTATCATCGCCCGTTACCGTGATACTGGCAGAAAAGTCCTACGTCAAGAAAATGGACGGAAGAAAACAGTCACATCGTGAGCTGAACATTTCGCAATATTCCATTCGGCATATATTGAAAAATGATTATCCCATTTCACCGAAATTTCAAAAAGTGCAAGAAATTACACAGCAACTAAAAGAAAATAGACTCAAAAGAGCTAAAGAGCTGCTTCGCTTGGCCGAAAGTGGTGAACTGCCGAATTTGGTTTTCTCCGATGAGAAAACATTCGTTGTTCAGCAGTTTGTAAACAAACAAAATGATCGTGTTTACGTGCCAATGAGTTCAGCTGAAAATGTGCACCTTCGGTTGGCCACCATAACTCAAGCGCCGGTCATGGTGATGGTGTGAATTGTCATAACGGGCAATGGTCGCTATCCGCTCGTATTAATCGACCGTGGCATGAGAATAAATGCCGAATATTGTTCTGGATGGTGTATTAAAGCGTCGCTTTATTTCCAGCGCACAATGTCCACCAAAATCTACGGATACAAATCCTTTGGACTATTGTGTCTGGAGTATTTTGGAAAGCAAGATTGGCACGAAAAAATACCAAAGTGTCGATCACCTCCAGCAAGCGCTTCGCCGGGAATGAGCCAAAATACCGGAGAGCAACATTCAGGCAGTGTATGACGGTTTCATTGGCCGTTTGAACGCCATAATTAGCGCCAAAGGTGACCATTTCGAACAAATCTGAACTTATTCTAAAACTTGATGCTATTTTCGACATTTTTTGCTTTCATTCAATAAAATTAAAAAATGTAAAACTTATGGTGTTTCACTTTGTTGCAGTTTTTTATCTCGCCCTGTCTCTTTGGACGAAATCAGGTTCATTGGACTTACGATTGTCTAGCAGGTTCGTACTATAACACTCCGATTTGGTCCAAATTTGGTATGATTACCGAAACTTGCGTATTTTTTTTAAGTCTTCCTGGACAAAGTTTATTGATTTTTAAAGATTTTTTAGAAAAGGATATTTTTTACAAAGTTCTTTCAAAATTCCAGGACTTCAGGGCAAGGACTTCTCTGTAGAAAAACATGAAATTAAAGAATATATTTTCAAGGACTCCCGGGGAGATAATTAGATATTTTTATACCCTACACCACAAGGTGGTCAGGGTATTATGTCTTTTTGCATTTGTTTGTAACAGGCAAAAGGAAACGAGATAGACCCATAGTTCCTTTTGATGATCTGCATAGAATCACATTCTGAGTCGATGTATGCATGTCCGTCCGTCCGTCTGTCCATGTATTTTTGTAAACAAAGTACAGGTCGCATTTATTGCCCGATCCAGATGAAATTTTTCACAGATCATTTGTTCGGCCCAAGGACGAACCCTATTGAAATTGGAGATAATCGGTCAAAATTTAGATATAGCTCCCATATATATCTTCGTCCGATTTGCCTTTTATTGTGCACCAAACGCGTAATATCAGTCCGAATAGTATGGAATTTTGCACAAATCATTTGTTTGGCCCAAGGACGAACCCTATTGAAATTGGAGATAATCGGTCAAAATTTAGATATAGCTCCCATATATATCTTCGTCCGATTTGCCTTTTATTGTGCACCAAACGTGTAATATCAGTCTGAATAGTATGGAATTTTGCACAAATCATTTGTTGGGCCCAAGGACAAACCCTATTGAAATTGGAGATAATCGGTCAAAATTTAGATATAGCTCCCATATATATCTTCGTCCGATTTGCCTTTTATTGTTCACCAAACGTGTAATATCAGTCCGAATAGTATGGAATTTCGCATGTACGATCAGATTAGACCTCAAAATAAGTATGCCAAATTTCATCGAAATCGGTTCAGATATAGCTATAGCTCTCATATATATTGTTCATCCGATTTGTTATTTTTGTCCTCCGCAGCCGTAATATGCACTCTGTAACAACAATATTTGGTGAAATTTATCAAATACAGCTCAGAAATACATTTGCTAAATTTTATCGAGATCGGTTCAGGTTTGGATATAGCTCCCACATATAACTTCGTCCGATTTACATTGGATTGTTCACCAAACGTCTAATATTTGCCCAAATTGGATGAAATTTTGCACTTGCGACCGAATTGAGTCTAGAAGCTAGTATGTCAAATTTAGTGAAGATCGTTTCAGATATAGCTATAGCTCCCATATATACTCTTCATCCGATTTGTCATATTTGTTACCCACAGCCGTAATATGCATTCCGTAACATCGATATTCAGGGAAATATATAAATTAGAGCTCAGAAATATCTTTGCCAAATTTTATCGAGATCGGTTCCGATTTGGATATAGCCCCCATATATATTTTTATCCGATTTCAGATTAATTGTGCACCAAATGGGCAATACAACTCCGAATTTAAAAGATACAAATGCTTCGGCATATTTAGTTCTTTGAACTTTAAATTATAATAATAATCATAGCGTGTATGATTGAATTCTCCCATAAAAACTTTTAATTGTTATGCGCAGCTCAACTAAATTAGCAAAGTGGTGTAGGGTATCATAAAGTCGGCCCCGCCCGACTTTAAGACTTTCTTTACTAGTTTAGAAATATTTTTCCAAGAAAGATTTTCAGGGACTTTGGTCAAGAAATCAAACAAAAATATTTCTTGTTGGAAATTCTAAATTTTATGGAAGACATCGTGGTACTTTTTTTCCGAGGTCTTCCGACTAGAAATTCAAGAATATTGATAAAACAAACATTTTTTTGGTCTTCCTTGTAGAAAAATCAAAAAAAAAAAATCTCACTTAGTTCAGAGATTTTAAGGAGAGGAATCATGGATTTTTTTAAATATTTTTTATTGACGTCCTGACAATAAATGTCGGATTTTTTAAAGTGTATAATTATGGACTTGCTAGCAAAATTACCGATAAAAAAACAATGACTTGTTTTCAAGGACCTCCCTGTAGAAAATATAGACTGTTTTGCGGATATTCTTCAATGAAGTTATTTTAGATTTTCTTACCTTATCATGGATTTTTAATAGATTATTTTCAATGAATTCCCGGCAAAAAAAAAGAAATTTACAAGGAAAATCATGAATTTTTAAATGTTCAATCAAGGACTCAGAGTTTATTTAAAGATTTCCTTGGAAAAAAATGATTCTAGACTTCCTGTCAAAAGGATGGGAATTCTAAAGTATATTTTTTAAGGATATCTTGGTAACAATTTATTTATTTAATTATTTATTTATTTATTTATTTATTTATTTATTTATTATTTTTTTTTTTTTTGAGAGAAATTCCTTGCAACAAATCATGATTTTAAAGAAAATAGAATAGGATTATTTTTAATAAACATTTTTTGGAATTCCCTCCTAAATTCAGAAAAATTTGGCAATAACTTTCTGGCCAAAATGTAAGGTTTATTTAAAAATAGATTTTTAGGACTGTATAGAAATTTCAAAATTTATTTTTTCCAGGACATCTTGGTAACAATTTTAGATCTTTCTTTTGAGAAACAAATTATGATTTTTAGGGAATATTTTTAAGGATTTTCCCGGTGCAAAATTCAGAGATTTTTTTAAAACAGTTTCAATGAAAAATTTTGATTTTTAAGAATATTTTCAATGAAAATTTGACAGTTATTTTCTGGCAAAAATTAAAAGGCCAAATTCAAGGACTCTTGGTAACATCTTTTTTTTAAATCTCCTTCCTTTTTAAGGAGGTTTTCATAACA